GACCAGAACATTTGAACGTCTTTGAAGCACGTTATTTCGTCACAGCCTGAAGCAGACAGAACGGTAAATGACCATTCCCCTGTGTGCGTTTAGGAAGCACCTAAAGTAAATACCCATCCCGAAAGCTATATCCCAAAAGTGTCTTGCTAAGGAGCCTGTGGCGGGCTTGGTTGTGGTTGTGCTTAGAGCACTACTATCTCCAGGCCAAATTCCTAGAAGGATATGCAAGGCAGAAGTCACCAGCGCGTCTGGAAGCGCTGACTGAGATAATGGATAGCCTTGAGGCAATTGGCCTTGAACAAAGACGCCGGACAAAACAATGTTGGGCGTCGGCTACAGTCCCCTGACTTAAATTGCGGTCCATTTCATATAGCCCACACAGGTGCTAATTCCTCGGCCGTGTTAGAAGTGAAGTGAGGTGTGGTACCACTACCAATACTTACACCCCGAATTCATTAAGGGTTATTAGTTAGGGCTCGAGAAGGACATTTGCAAAACACGTTATTAGAAGGTGTGTAGATGTCGGAAGGTCATTAGCCATCGGGTTATCCCGAGATATCACGGGTATCCACTCGATTCTAGTGTGATCAAAATTTAGTAAGAGCTGTCGTTGGAGATTTTAGCGTTACCCCAGAAGTCCTGGTGGGGTAAATTATGCTAGACATAATTCAAGTCGAAAGCTGGTTACGTGCGCCGTGACTCCGTGTGATTGCGCTTATACAACAGTCGTCCATCCCTGCCCAAGAGCTATCCCCATGCAGCCTAGACTCCGAAAGCGCAGTATCGCTGAACGAATACAAAACTCAAGTGAACCTTCTTCAACCCTAAGAATGCAGATTGGGTAATCCGATTGAGGTCCTTACGTAGCTGTTGACTTATCCCGGTAGTCCCTTCCACAATTTTAGACAATGAGCGTTTTATATTTGTGCGCTATATTCCGATCCAGAGAAATTACACCAATCAGCGTAACTTACTGATGCTATGCGCAGGAAGACGACAAGAGGTGACTTGGAGACAGCATTACACTCTGTACGATTATCTTTCCCTTCACGGTACTGCATGTGCCCATTTCTTCACATCGCAAGCACAGAATCCGCTCTTCCCACATCCTGTACTTCTGAGGAAAATTCTTGAGAACTCACCAGAAGTGCTAAAAACTGCTTTCTAGAATTATTTGACAACACATCAAGGGTTAGTAAAATAACATATTTTGGATAACTAAAACAGCAGCGCTTTCGCCAGTTAGAACGGCGATAACTTGCACTTCCGGACGTGCATACTCTCAGAGTAGACGAATGGGTAACTAGGAAAGCACTTTTCAGCTCCAACCGAAGCACTTTATATTTAACAATATAGTAACAAGGACAACGACATGCGAAAATGAAATACACTAGAATTTTTTACCTACAAGTTCTTTACTTCAGGACCGGAGAACGATTAGATAAAAAAAATCGAGTAAGGAGATGACAGAGACAGATGCAAAAACTTACCGGAGAGCTCGGTGGCAAGTCACAAGTCTGGCGGATAATGACGTCAACTACAACATCCGTGTCGTTACAGTAGATGAGTGCGGCGGTCTTCGGGTCAGAGAAAATGTCGGCCAACAACTTGCGCGCTGCATTTTTCGGAGTATCTGGAGCCTGCTGAAGCACAGTGTCTGTGATACCGGATCGATGGCGTGAGCGTGCGCCGCCAGTACTCATCGCATCCTCAGTGCTGCCGTTGCTGCCGGTCTCGTACAGAGAGCTGCGTCGCGAGGACTGGCCTGAATCATCAGAGCCAGGCATGGGTGTGCCCTCGTAGAGGGCAAAGGTCACATCCGAATCCTGGCGCATGTTGCCTCTTAGGGTGCGCACAAACGCAACGCCGTTCAAAGCGAGTGGATCATCTAACGGGAACAAATATGAGCATTAAACTGATTTCCGACCAGAAGTAATACTTGTCAAGAAACGTGTAAATTTTTATATTTCAAATGTGAGATTGTTCGTCTACAAAATGATATTTAGGGAATACAGTAGTCGCCGGCTATTAAGCCCACGGCTAATAAGCCCAGCCGCCTA